TACTGGACACATTAAATTTTCACAAGTAATTTATTTTGTAATTTCAAAGTGCATCGCTCAAACGCTTCAAACTAAGACAGAAACAGCGGTTCAGACTTCCTGACTTTAAATAGGTCTAGTTCTTGAAAAAAAACTATTCCCTTTGACTTCTCATAAATATTCAAGCATGTCATATAGTTTATAAACTGGCATATACATGTAAACCTACTTTAGGTGGTTGGTGACACTCCAGAGGAAACTCTGAACCTAGATCTCATGCTACTTCACACTTGCCAGCAAGTTGTTCTTGTAATCTTGAGAGAACTGATGCTTCTTAACGTACTGAAACCCGAATCATCCATCTAAACAATCTGTGACGTTACCACTGAACTGTTCAAGCTGTAATTGACTTCCTGTAGGATTGTGATATTTACAGTTGGTTGATATAGACTGTGGAAGATTTTTATTATTAATGTCTCATAAAACAGATCAGTGATTAACGTATAATCTATACTTCAGGCAGGAAAATTGACGTAAAATTTTTGTCATTTTATGACAAATCTAGTTATCGGAAAATTTCTTCTTTTATTATCTCTCTACCTCTATATAACCCGCTTAATATCCGTTTACGTGTTTTTTTTTTAAACATAGTATTCGTACCAGTCTCCAAGTTTAGTTTTTTTTTTAATGTTCAAATGACTAAATTACAATCAAATATAAATTAACAGACAGTAATTTGTGTGCATTATATCTGCTAAATGTACAATGGTCTATGTAAATGAACAGAATTTTTTTCATACATGCAAGTTTGTGTGTCTATAGTCATATTTCATTCTACCTAGCAATTATATTTTATCACAAGTAGTTCATTTCTAATTTTATGGTTATGGTTGCTATAAGTTGTCTTACTGTTTTCAACATTATTTTAATGGAACGTTTGACATCATATTAATTTAACCTTCACAAGTAATTGTAGTGTGTGCTACTGATGTCGATAGATATAAGTAGTATGTATCATCAATTGAAAGTGAAATACCTGATGGCAGAAGGTTAAGAAGATTAAGAAAAAGAGAACGAGAACAGTGAATGATTGGTGTGGAAACAAAGGAACAATGAAGTCTGAAACGATCGACTGATATTTTGCAAATGAAGTATTTACTGTATGAATCGCTGATTTTACTAAGATGATTCGGTAATTTTGTCCCAATTTGTGTTCTCGATTACTACAAATTATGTTTTTTTGTACCATCTTTAACTATGTGTATTAGTAGAAGTTATGAATATTCCACTAAAGGTTTCTAGTATCTTTTATCGATGTTACCAAATGATCCACTACAATCATATACCAATGTCCATGGTACTTGACCATTTCATGATCTGTCATTGTCTCCCTTATTTATTTCATTCACTCATAAATTGAACGTAGTTGAATGGGGAAAGTAAGAGTAATTATTCTTCCTAAGATCAAACAAAATGAGTTCACTTCATTGTTCAATGTTTTTCATTCTTACTCTATAAAAGCTTATCAAAGGAACTAATTTTACAAAATTTGTACTGTGAATGATATTGATGTTTACATTATTTATCAATGAAATGAAATGGATTACCCATTTTTCTATTCCTTTGGTATGAACCTATTTTTTTGTCATCTTTTTTTCCAAAAACGATTGTCAATAGATAATACACCTGGACAAAGTTATCTAATAGTTGATATAAATCATTCACTTAGTATTGTTTGTTTGAATCTTCCAATTGATGTTTAGGACTGCAACTGATCAGTCTCTTATTGGCCAGATGTGCATACAGTGCGTATTGCCTCGATATTGCCTAAATTCACAAGCATTATAAGTAAAGATGGATAGTGGATAACAGTGGCTGAGTGGATAACGCGATGGCGTTTGAAGTGAAATTCACTAGGTTCGAGTCCCAGAGTGAACATCGACTCTGAAATGCCGGTACATCCAGCTGACGAGTCTCAAATAGGACGAAACGCGCGTCAAACTGGATTCCACTGCTAGCAACTGTCCATCTTTTCTTATAGTCATTATTTTTATTTATGTGAAATCTAGTCAAAAGATTTGTTGCTTCTATTTTAAACACTATGATTTCATAGTTAATATGCAGACTTTTTTACTATACATGAAACTGTAGATTAATTTTGGATCTACTTACTTACTTACTTACGCCTGTTACCCCTCGTGGAGGAGCATAGACCGCTAACCAGCATTCTCCATCCAACTCTGTCCTCGGCAATCCTTTTCAGTTCTTTCCAGTTAACATTCATCCTTTTCATATCTGCTTCTATTTCCCACAGTAATGTGTTATTTGGCCTTCCTCTTTTCCGCTTCCCTTCCGGATTCCAATTTAGGGCTTGCCTTGTGATGTACATTGGTGATTTCCTTGATGTATGTCCTACCCACTTCCAACGTCTTTTCCTAATTTCCTCTTCAGCTTGAAGCTGGTTTGTACTCTCCCATAAAACGCTGTTGCTGACGCAGTAGACGCCTAACTTCAAGATCAACAGGCGGCATTCCGTAAAAATCGGTCATGCACAGACCAGATTGCGACATTATGGATCATCGTTGAACAATCAATTGAGTGGAACTCATCACTATACTTCAACTTCATTGATTATGAGAAGGCGTCTGACAGTGAGGACAGGAGAACATTATGGAAACTTCTACGACACTATGGAGTTCCTCAGAAGATTGTCAACATTGTCCAGAACTCATACGATGGACTACGGTGCAAAGTCGTGCATGGAGGACAGCTAACAGATACATTCCCATTAGGGACCGGAGTCTGACAAGGCTGTCTACTCTAGAAGAGCTACAGGTGGAGTTAATTTTGGATCTAATCTAAACATTAATGCGTACTGGTTAACGTAGATGATCTTGACATTTTTATAAAGTGGAATTTTTTCAGTTACATTCATCAAAAATAATGCAATCCTTATAGGAGTAATATTTTTTTTCTTTTCATTGGTCTGAAATACAAACATTTTATAGGTTAATTTAATTGTATACCCAGTACCATATATGTTTATCATCTTGTTTAGGCGAGATTGTTTGTAATCACTAACAAATCAAGTCATTCTCGAATAACAATCACTACTTACTTACTTACTTACTTACTTGAAAGGGATTTTTCTTTCTGATCGTTTTTTCCTGAAACCATGATGTAAATTATTTAGAATTATTTATTATTGGTATAAAAGGTTTATGGGAATTGTGTACCTAAACGGATTTTCAATCATCAATTAACTTAAATTAAACACTTTTACAAACAACTCCCAAGTTCGAATTCTGTTTTGATCTTTGGTGTGTATAGTAGCACATGAGCCGCCCTGTGCCTTTTTATTCTGTGGTTGTTTATCTAAATTCTAAAATAAATATTATCAATGTACTGATAGATTTCAACCAACATTTCCAAATTGAGTGGTAATTAAGTGGATTTTCTTTTTGTTTGTTAACGAACCGGATATCAATTTAACTTGGAGTGATAATTCATGGTATAAAAATAGCAGGTCAAATACTACCAGTAATTATAGTCACTATATTCCAGACCTTAGTACATATCGGAATTCTTTAGCTGAGTAGGTTATATTTTATCAATTCCCACCATTTTCCATACATTCAATGAATAGGTATTGAAAATTAAAGTCTAATTTTCATTAAGTTTTCATTTCAAGTCTCTGACGTTATCCGTATCTGTCTTCCATGAACGTATTATTGTAGTGCAGTTTACCATTTTTGATGTAAACACAAAATATTCTCACCACTAGAAATCAAACTCAGGACCTTCTGTCTCAAATGAGGACGTCTAACCTCTAGACGACTGAGACGATATCCAGTATTGACGGTTGACTGAAGTAAGGTTTGTGCATTATTGGACCATAGCTTGATTGTCTGTGGATTAAGCGTTTGAACACGGGACCGAAAGTTTAAAGTTCTATTCTCGACGTTGCAGTACTGGATGAGTACTGGTAAATAGTTTCACACTAGGACAAAACAGCCTTTCAGTGCTCCCAGGACTTCAGAGGTTGTTTGGCTTGTATAAGTTCATGTTCTCAAGAAAAAACTAAAATGACATGCGTAACTAATTTTATATTTTTATCATATATAATCGTGCGATTTCTGATAATTGCTTCACTGGATGTTTATGATTATAGCATGCCAATTTCAATGTACACACTTATGCTTATTTAGCTTGCAAAGCACCATTCATTGAATAAGATATTTTCATCTTTTTGATGTGGATTTGTTCTATGAGCTGAATGGTTTGGTAGTGGAGCTTTCATTGTCCTTCTGAACGACGTCATCAGCACATCATCAGCACCTTAATTTTGCATGCATATTCACATTTATGTTTGAATTTAAATTATCTAATAGCATTTGAATAAAATTTCATATTTATTCAGTCTACTTACATTAATCTTATATCTGCCATTTGTATATTATCACTTCCATATATGACTAAAAACGTTGAACTCAAGTCGATAAGAAGTGACAATGAACTTGGATCAATGATATCTAGCATCACAATTAGATATATTATCAATAATTTATCGTGTCTACAACTAACCTCTCAATGAATTAAGACTTTTACTAATTAATTAAGCGCTAAGTAATAGGACGAAACGGTCGTCAAGCAGTGCTTCCAGGTTTTCCATGGTGGTCTATATTCAATTGACTCATGATTTCAACTATGAAAATATCATATTTGTTTCAATTATTGTTCTGATAGAGTTCAATTGTTAAACTCCAATATTTAGCCACTGATTTAAATGATTTGATAATGTAATAACTTTGTCTGCAAGTTCACCTTGTTAATGATGAATCGCCAAGCTGAATTTCCTTCCGATCACCTTTAAATCAATACTTTTTTAAATGAAGTACATTATAATGCACCATCAATTTGGTCTCGTGGCATTTGTATTCGTGTGTGTTAAACAAATATTCTATTTATTCATAAGAATATGTGTGTATTATATAAATATATGTCTCCGTCACTTCATTTAGCTTTCATTGGCTTTCACAAGGTCAAATGAATAACTTCATATCAAATGGTTTGAATAAATCAGATTCCATGCATCATCAATGTAAACCACAAAACAATTTAAACAATTCTGCACTATCCATAAGGTCTAAAAGTATGGAACGTTATTATGGTAGTGGTTCAGTGAAAGGTTCTACTATTAGATCACGTAGAAAAACACAAGAAACTAATCTTCCTTTTGTGAGCAACAGTGATAATCATCATGTTGATGATGTTCCTGCTAATCCTGTCTACGATTCTCCACTACCTTCAGTTCTACATGCCAATTCAATTTGCAATAATAAATCACAACGAAGCTATCAGGGAAGTCCCCTTGAATCCAATGAAAATGGTCCATTGAACAGAAATATGTCTGTACTGAATAATAATGAATCGTGTAATAATAATCATATGAAAAACGGATCGCATTCATCTGATAGTTATAAAAACACTCATTCTGTCTCATCTTCTGTACGTCATGGAACGAATGACTTTACGTCGTCATATTTGGACAACGTGTGAGTACGTGAGGAAGTGTAAATATGTGAATATCTGCGTTTTTAATATATGTACCACTAACATCCATGATAGTACAGAATAACACGTCGCTTAAAGAATTACTAGCTTAACCGTTAGTGAAGATTACTGAATTTTTGTAGTTTACCCTACGAACTTACCAACGGAATTAGATGGTTGGACAATATCCCGAATAGGTTAAAGTTAGAAATGTAAGCCATCAGATACTGATTCAGTGTTCTAAAGGTCAACTGGTTGTCGTGATACCTGACGATCCTGGATTTAACTCCCTGATAGTGACGGTGATGAGAATCGCTGTGGATTTACACACTCAGATGAAGCATCTGTGTAGTTCTTCGTGGGTTTCTACAGTTTACTAACTAAGGTTAATCAGCAATCTAAAATATGGCACGGTAGTAAGCCATCGTTTGCCTTAAATTATCATCAACATTCATTAATTGTGACCTTAGAATAAAATATTCATAGTTATAAATGAATAGCTATGAGCTCTGATACTGGAATCACCATGATTCATCTTGATAATAAAGCGATTAATTGCATAAGTTTTTTAATTCAGTGGTAGACAAACGTTATCAAACGACGTAAAACAAAATCCAGTGACTCTTGGTTTGGCTCCAGAAAACAGTATGAAAATTCAGTACTCTCCTTAAAAGGCATAAGGATTCTTTTCATTGTATTGTGCCACATATTTATTATAAAACGAAATACCATAACTATTTAAAATGGCCATAGTGTAACTGATAATCAGATAGACTCAATATTGACGATATGGTTCTAGAAGAAGAAATGATAATGTATGTACGAAAGAATGGTGGAACTCAGGATATATCTGCGACACTGACCAATCCCAAAAAATATTAACCTAAAGCTCTAACTATTGTTTACGAAAACCACGAAGACCCTGTCCAGATACTCTGAACCTACCAAAATGTCTCAGTCCAGTAGTCGATATCTTCACTGGTTGATATTTCACTTTGATTTTTGCCTCTAATATTCTTCCAATCTTCTACCCCACTCAACCTTGTTCTTTGAGGTAGACTGTCATCACGCATACTTAACATATGCCTCGACATTGTCAATTTACTAGAATTCATAGTCTAGTCATTGAAAATTCCAAATGTACCATTATATCTTTACTTCATCACTTAAAATAGATAGTATTCTCAAGTTTAAAGAAACATTGTGATCTTTCCTCTCAACTTACTTACTTACGCCTGTTACCCCCAATGGAGCATAGTCCAGTATTTTTAAGTATAAGTAATAGTTGGAATGATTAATTCATGATCAAAATATGATGAAAATAGGACTGTTTGTAATACAGTTTCACTTCTGTTGTCAAACTGACCGATAAAAAATCCCTGTCCACATCGAAGCAACTTTGTAACAAAATAATTATCACCAGTATTTATAACACATTATATATTCCCATTACTAATATCCCATTAGTAAATCTGATCAGTCTGTGTAAAGTAGTAAATAGTGCACTTGTTGCTGAAGCTATATATGTTTTGGATTTCTTCTCACAGTGTGAGCATCAAAACTTGGATGTGGTAGGTAAGTCCAACTTGTGAGTCTAAAAATAAGATAAAATAATTATTCTGAATTCCATTACTACTCATTATTTAAAATCTGAAAATCAGTTATCAGTCTTCAGCTTTCGTTTTCTTATTTCTAAGGTACTCGACGGACAGCAATCAAGCATTCGCTCTTTCGTTGTGTTTTTTTTTATCATTCGATGTCTGTCTAATTTTTATCTACCAGATAGACTAGTACGCTTAACCATACATACATTCCAAGAATTTATAGTTGTTAAATGAAATAAGGTCACCAGTGTCTGCCTTTTAGAATAATTTTGGAGTTATAATAGGAAAATATGACTGATGAAGTCCAACCATATCAGAATTTAAAAGATATTTCAGCCTAATAGCGAATATAACATACCTTATATTATATATCTGTTGTTATTAAAATAAGTAGGCACATACATACATATATTGAAATAGAATAAACAACAATATATGTTTCGATAGTGTAATAAGAGGACGAAGATTATCAGAAATATGTGATATATTAGCGTATTACGTTTGGTTGAAGTTAGACATTAACACCGTTGTATGCTGGCTCAATGGCCTATCTGTTAAGGTCTCCGGCTTGTGACTGGTAGGTCCTGGGTTCAAATCTTGCAAGTGTGGGATCGTGAATGCGCACTGCTGAGGAGTCCCATAGTAGGACGAAACAGCCGTTTAATGATTTCAGGTTTTCGATGGTGATCTAGCTTCAATTGACCCATGATTTCAACTATGAAAATACATTTCGAACAATCTGATCACACATATACTTGCTATGAACATTTATATATAAAAATAAAAGGTCAATTAGATTGGAAATGAAGGATTAAGAGGAGACAAGGATAATGATAATAATTTTGTGAAAGCAATTTTAGATCTAATCACTATGGCTAATAAGCTAATATTACTAGGGTATGTTTAAAGTGAGAACAAACTGATTTCCGTGTGCTCAGTTATTCCTATTGTTCTTTTTTTCGTTAATTAATGTATTTATTACTCTCATGTTCAACTGCATGTACATCCATCTAAATGACATGTATAAATATTGCATGATTATACAATATTATCTTTTGTTTAACAGTAACAAATCTCCTTCATCTCATAATGGTCTTAATTCATCCAATGAACAACGTCAATCATTTCAATTCGCCTATACTAAGCGGTGCGTATGTTCTTTTTTTTCCGTACAATTATCATTATGTTGAATATATATATGAATGATTCGAATATAAATGTTTTTGCATCTTAGTTCTAGTTTTTAAGTTGAAGTAATTAGGCATGTTACAATGCATAAACTTTACAATATCGTTTCATTTCCTGTGTCCCGTTTACTGTTATAAGCGCTAGGCATTGTCTTGTGCTAATAATTCCAGTATTTACGGTTGAAATAGCATGTAGGTATGTTACTAATCTGCTGTATATATGTACTGTTTTATTCAGTGAGATATCGTTTTTATCGAGCAACAATAAGTTCGAGAATTACTCCATATTATACAGGGGAATACTATTAGTGATTTATAGGCTACCAGATTACCCAACTTAATCAATGCAAATTAATTCTCAGTACACTATTAGAGTTCCAATTATTGCACATTTCATTTGAGATTTATAGGTTATTATTTACTAAATTAGACATTTTAATCAGTAGCTTATTTTGAAATCTCTCCAGTTATGATATGTCTGGCACTGACATTAGTTATATCCTTCTCCGTGAAAATCACAAAGGAATCAGTGAAACTAATACGGTGTCTAAAATATTAGGTTCAATAATACTTCGATGTCTAACTAAAACTTATGAAGAGAAGACTCAAGAAAACAGAGCTGGTTTTAGACTTGGACGTGGATATATAGACGAAATATTCACCCTCCGACAGGTTCTGGAACATAGACATACTGTTCGACGTCCGACAATCGTTGCATTCATTGATATTAAGGCAGCATACGACTCGCTTGATCGTGAAGTTTTATGATAGTATCTGTCATTGGAAAATTTACCAAAGAAAGTACATTAGCCTTGTATAGACTCTCTACTCTAACACTTCTGGTCGAGTCAAAGCTTATGGCGAAATTTCGTCAGAATTGGTTACTTCAGTTGGTGTCCGTCAGGGTTGTTAACTCTCTCCACTTTTATTTTTGTCATAGACATGCTTTTAAAGATAACACATTCATCGTCTGACTTTTCAGGAGTTGATCTTTTACCAGGGGATTCAATTACTGACTTAGGATATCCAGATGATATAATTCTACTTGGTGAATATGCTGACAAAATGCAGAGTCCTCTAATCACCTTAAGCAACATTGAAAGCATGTTTGGAGTGCAGTTCTCTCCCTTCAAGTATAAAATTTAAGTTCAGGGTCGGATTGTGTTACCACCTAAATTAATGATAAGGAGTAAAGTATGCGAATACTTCGACCGCTTTCTTTATCTTAGGAGTTTCGTCAGTACTAGTAGTCTGATATCTGACAAAATCTCGGAGTGAATTTGGAAGGCTCAATTGGCTTTTGCCAACTTGCGTCATTTATGGTGTAGGTGAGATATCCGTCTTTCAACCAACGGACGAGTTTGCTGAACAGTAGTTCTCTCCGTTCCACTTTATGGATGTGAAACATGACCACTTTGTGTCCTTGTATCTGACTTCTATGCTGTTCTGCTGAACGCTTTTGAAATCAAGACCCCTGGAGTAAACAGGCCAGTCTCTGTACAAACAAAGTGTAATATCACTCCTTGATTGCCTGGAAGGTGGACAAGTCGAAAGCAAAGTCAGCCATACGGTTACAGGTAGATGCTAACACTAGATCCTACGATTCTGTTCAAAGAGATGTTAGCGGGTTATAGATTGGATTCAGGCATGTTCCGTGAAGGATTGTGTTGGGGTACTCCTATTGGCTATCTCTTAACCAATCCGTTCTGGCTGATACGTGGAGAAGACTCTAGAATCTTATTATTGAGATTTCTACTTCCATTCACCCTTGTTATTTGGCATATAACTGCGTTCCTGTTCAAATGTATTTTGATTTGGGGACTTGTCGAGTAATATAATGTCCAAGAATACGAAACAATATGAGTAGCCTGGTCGCAATAAGAGAAATCGTAACACTGAGTATTTAATAAAAGCTAATAATTATTGAAAAGGGTCCAGTTTTAAAGCAAATAAGCCGGTTCTTGAAGTTTGTATCACCCATTATTCATTTTGGATAATCGGTTTGTTATCACTAAGGGCTATCAAACAAATTAAAAGCCTAAAACAGATAAGTTGTGTTATTGTACTTTAAAAATAGCTGCGTAGAATTGACGAAATTGGAGACTCTAATTCACTTTTTTTTTCTGGTCATGAAATAACATTTGATCATCTCCGTAGAATAAAAATAATCATCTAATTTTGGTAAGCAGAGATGGATAGTGGTTAGCAGTGGAATCCAGGATACGTTTCGTCTTATTTGGGACTCGTCAGCTGGATGTACCTGCATATCAGAGTTGATGTTCAATCTGGGACTCGAACCCAGTACCCTCACTTCAAACGCCATCGCGTTATCCACTCGGCCACTGCTTACCATGCTTGTGAATTAAGGCTATATCGAGGCAATACGCACAGTATGCACATATGCCAATTAGAGACTGACCAGTTGCAGTCCTAACACATCGATGGGAAGATTCAAATAAACAATACTAAATGAATTTAATCATCTAATTTATTTTACATTGAGCGTTTTATCAAAACTTCCTTTTTTTAGTGTACGATAGTTTCTTTCTCTAAAAGATATCGGTAAGAAAACTTGATATTTTAGGAAAGAATAATGACTAAGCTTTTGTAGAATAGATGAATTGTGAATAGCGTTGGGATCTAGAACAATCGTTTTGTCTCGTTAGAGGTGCGTCATCTGCATGTGCCTACATTGCAGGGTCGATGTTCACTATGGAACTCAAAGTTGATACATTTCACTTCAAAAATGAACTTTTACCCGCTGTATTACTGAGTATGATTAGTCCTAACCTTGTTCTACATTGATGTTTGTCTTATTAATAGCAAGGGCTTGAATTTTTCTATTGTTAATGTTCAAGACTGAATTTTTATTTACCCTTTTTAAGGATATTTTCATCCTGAGCAGGTTTTCCCAATGTGGTTATTTTGTCACAAGTTTTAAAACAGATGGGTTTCGGTTTGCCGTAGATTAGATAATGAGCGTGTCATTAAATCTCGGTATAAATCAACTTAATGTACCTGTATCCCAGTGCTGATTATCAAAAATTCAATCTTGAATGTCAACACCTGGATATATATATATATATATATATATATATATATAAAGTACACTGATTGTTGGTTTTGTCTATCATATTTGTCTGTTTCTCATTGATTTGACCGCTAACCCTGATATCGTTTTGTTTTTGTTGTTTACGCCTGTTACTCCCAATGGAGCATAGGCCGCCGATCAGCATTCTCCAACCCACTCTGTCCTAAGCCTTCTTTTCTAGTTCTATCCAGTTTTTGTTCATTCTTCTCATGTCTGTCTCCATATCTCGGCGTAATGTGTTTTTTGGTCTTCCTCTTCTCCTTTGGCCTTCAGGATTACATGTGAGGGCTTGTCTTGTGACGCAGTTGGGTGACTTCCTCAATATATGTCCTATCCACTTTCAGAGCTTCTTCCTGACCTCTTCCTCCGCTGGAATCTGGTTTATTGTCTCCCACAGTAGGTTGTTGGTGATAGTGTCTGGTCATCGGATCCGAAGTATCTTGCGTAGACAACTGTTAATAAACACCTGTATCTTCTGATTGATGGCTTTCGTAGTTTTACACTTCTCTGCCTCATACAGTAGAACTGTCTTGACATTTGTATTGAAATTTCTGATCTTGGTGTTGGTTGACAATTGTTTTGAGTTCCAGATGTTCTTCAGTTGTAGATATGTTGCTCTTGCCTTGCCGATCCTTGCCCTCACATCTGCATCTGATCCACCTTGTTCATCAATGATGCTGCCTAGATATGAAACGGTTTCCACATTCTCCAAAGCTTCTCCGTCAAGTGTAATTCGATTGGTGCATGTTGTACTCTATTGGAGAGTCTTGCTTTTCCCTTTGTTTATATTAAAAACGCTACACTTTATATCTTTATATTTTAATAATAACCAGTTGATGGTAATTGACAGGATACGTGGTAACTAAATTTTATGCTACTTGATATGACTAATCAATTAGTTGGGTGAATTATACACATGAGGATTGGAGCCTTAGTGATCTCTTTATTACAATTAAAAATGTTATCATTGAACTATTTGTGATATGCGTTATTGACTTCATGTATAGAAGATTTATTTTTCATACTAGTAACTAACCAGCATGAAATCTTGATCAAAGACATTCAAAGTGGTTGATATTTGTATGTCTATGTAAAACTTTAGTTATATGGTTTCAAAATAAATGTTTATGTTTATCACTAACTAAATCATCATGCCATTGTTTATTTATGATTTTTAAATTAACTAAGCTATGATGTATATTCATTGGTTTATTTCAACTCAATATACATGATTCAATGAACTAATCTAATTTATAATTTCCCCATTTTTTTTTTATTTATTTTAGAAATTTCATCACTTGGGATAAAAATATGATTTCAGCATGGTTATATAAAATTGGTCTAGGTTATACAGTAACACATACACGTAGATGGTTAACTTCTGGTCAAGATTTAGTAAATGAATCCAAAAAATCACTTGCTCAGGTAAATAACTTTTTAATTTACACTGTAATTACTTCATAAATAACTTTACAAGACAATGTCTTTCTTCAGAGAGAAAATAAGAGAGCATCTTTGACTTCCATTTGAGTCACTGTAAATGAATGAATGAATCTCATAACAATTAATCAATCTCACTACAAATGCTGATTAACAGTATTGATTCCTTAATTTATTCACCAATAATTAGTTACTTAAATATTTTGAAAGGATTATGCTCTTGCAATGCTTAAAGCCATTTGGAAATGTATAGAACGATTAAACAGTTAGATCTCCAACATGTACCAATCAGGATGTATTCATGACATGTTACATTAGGTTAGTCACGTCATTCCTTATAGTAATATTTAATTGGATAAAGAATTGTACCCTATTGATTTCTTCTGTTCAAAGGCTTGAACAATCCAAAAAAGTAAATATTTTAGCAAAGAAGGTTGATCACTGAAGATAATCAAAAATGTTTGTCACATATTGTAGATTGATTTAACTTCAATCATCTAGAAGTTAGGCGCTTGTTGGCAAGAACCAAAGTCCTGGGTTTTGTCCTTGGTGAGGTTGTGAATGGGCACTATACTAGAATGAAATATCTGTTAAATATTTCCTACTTTTCTATGGGTTTCTAAGATGAATAGGTTAGTAATAAGAATTAACAAACATGTGCTCATACTTTTTCCACTAACCTTTTTCCTAACCTTTTCAGTGTGCTAATTAACATTTAAACAGCAACATTTGTATACATTCATAAGAAAGCTAAAGTCAACTAAACGAATATGACTTATTGTATCTCATGTATCATCGCTTAGAAATTTAACAAATAAGCTGTACCGAACACAATTTATCATTCTTATGATTAATCTACATACATTAATAACTGATCTGTAGAGTTCTTACACTAAATTACTTAACTACATAGCAGCAAAATATAATATACAGCAATATTAAGCTATGCAGTCGAGTAGTAGCATTACAAATTTAATTGTTTGAATTTGATCAGTACTATAAACTAAACAGAAAATAATATTAGTTATTAATAATACTAATACTACTATAACTACTACAGCTTATATTTATTTTTATTAGTTTATCAATTGATCAGTGATTAGTAGTCATTGTGATGTTTGTCTAGTATTTTATCAGTGACCGGTTTTTATCGATCAAGTTAAAATGTGATCACCAATTTGAGTGACTTGCTTTACTTTGATATGTTAGTTGATTAGCAGTAGTTGGCAAGATACCTTCATGCTAATTATTGTCCAACATGTAGACGTTCTTCCAATTTTTAGAGGACTAGTGTTCCCCATAGGAATCAAACCTTCATCACCTAGCTATCTTATTTCTATAACTTATCAAAGTACCATATTTTAAAAGAGATTGTGTTTAATTTGATAATTAACTAACAATATAATTTTTTTAATGTTTATTTATTCCAATTTGATAATCAACGTTTTCCTATTTATCTATTTATTTACTTAATCGCTAACAGTTATTCGTAAAAGAATAATCCTTTAGATGACATAAAAAGTAAACATTTATTTTATGATTTAAATCATGAGTAAATTGAAGCTAGACCACCATGGATAACCTGGAAGCATTGGACGTCCGTTTCGTCCTACTATGGGACTCCTGAGCAGTGCGCACCCACGATCCCGCCTCGCGAGATTCGGATCCAGGAGCTATCAGTCTCGCGCGCGAGCGCTTAACCACTAGACCACTGAGCCGGCATCCAACGACCGGATCGTGGATGCGCACTGCTTAGGAGTCCCACAATAGGACGAAACGGCCGTCCAGTGCTTCCAGGTTTTCCATGGTGGTCTAGTTTCAATTGACTCATGATTTCAACTATATAAGATTACTAAAATCTCCACAAACCTCCTTCCTAATTGTTTTATGAATTGAATACCATCATTCAACTGATTAACTGATAAATAAATGTCAATCAGGGCGTATACAACAAAGTTAGAGCATACCAATACGAAATAACTTCATTCCATTTCACAATTTTCATTGTGTTTATTTTATTTTCTTCACTTTACACTTGTAAATACACATTTAATCAAAGTTATTGAATAATAAGTGTGTCGTAACAGATTATTACTTTTTACTATTGATCGTAACTTTGATTTGGATCCAAGGGGTTATATTTGTCCTGATCGTTAAAAATGCATTATTTACTTAACTGATACACATAAATTATGGTACAATATGACATTAATAAAGGCATACACCTCAGAAATAAATTAATGTTACTTTGAAAGAACAAAGAGATGAGAATGTATCATAATCGGTAGATGTGAATGAACAATATTACGACGTAATGAACAATAAAACTCAGTTATCAGAAGGGGTTTTTGTGGAGATTTAGTATTTTTCATAGTTGAAAGCGTGAGTCAATTGAAGCTAGACCACCGTGGATCAGTTGAGATTAGACATTAACACCGTTGGATGCCAGCTCAGTGGTCTGTCGGTTAAGGGCTCTGGCTCGAAACTGGTAGGTCCTGGGTTCGAATCTCGCGAGTGTGTGATCGTGGATGCGCACTGCACTGAGGAGTCCCACAGTAGGGCGAAACGGCCATCCAGTGCTTCCAGGTTTTCTATGGTGGTCTAGCTTCAATTGACTCACGCTTTCAACTATGAAAAACTCAGTTAAAAAACCCTAACAACAAGGATTTTTTTCAGTCAGGGAATTCGTTTTACCTGGATGAAGAAGATTAAAGTAGAATTACAACTGGATTTTATTTTGAAGTATATCTCATAACGACTTAAGTCACTAAGTTGTATAATTTCTAGAACTGTAAACAAGGATTCAGAATGAACTAGCAGATTCTATCTTGCTACAACTAACTTTCATACAACGGTATCGTGTCATAAACTTGCCACCACTACACTTTTTATATCCAGTCCAATAGTAAATAAATAATGTCCTATTTGGAAGCCACCGAGACGATAAAGATATGACAAACTACCAAAGTTGGGGCCTTAAAGTAGTCAAGATATATCTTACTAGTAAGAACTGATTAGATAGAACGTAAGACGACAGTTTATGTGTCAAACAAAAGCTTACAACTAGATTGATGTAAAAGTACAATAGTTCAGTTATCTAGCACTTATGAAGTAAAGATATAAACAAATAACCTTTCGTAAGATATTCCCAAAAGTTATCACTTTTATAATATTCGTTTCTTTTTCCTATAATTGTTTCCTATCCACTGATTTTTAGTTGATGTGCATACGTAACCCATTACATTTGAAGAAATTATTAATCCATATACGTTTATGTATGAAAGATCAGTGTCCTAATAATAATAGTAACAATATTAATAATAATTACAATTATGGATGTTTATATAGAAATATAGAACCACCGGGAAATTTTGATATGCCAGGTAAGTATCATTAATAGTCTTGTATAGAACTTATTTATAATATATGTAGTTTGTGAGTAGTATTTTCATTATTTTTTATCAGTGCAATTTCAACATTTCACCATCTCATATTCAAAGTATGTTATCTTTGATCATCTGCTAAGTCTGTTTTAGTGGTACTGAAAATATTCGATAGAACAACCCTCACTAACTTAGTTTTCATACTATTTAGTACTCATCGGCAAGGCATACCTATAGTTTTAAAGGAACTAATGTTCTTCGTGGGATACAGATAGTGCGAGCCAGTTTTACAGACTGAGATACTACCGCTGAACTATGGGGTACACTATTGACCTCATGTAAATCAGAAGTATTTACAGTGGTTGATCACTGAGTAGTAACTAATTCTTCTTTTTTTTCTGTCTCGATCTAAATAACTCAGTGATAGCTCTTCAGATTGTGAAGCTGGATGGTCCAAATTAGGAACCTACTAGTAAGATCAGGACTAAACCCATTATTTACGGATGTGTTTTGAACGTCCAAAAACTAGATTCGGAATTTCCTCCAGATCATATCTACCAACTGACAAAAAGAACTCTCAACACTGAATAACAATCTTATATATTGAGTAGCGTTTAACATTTAAATAATTTTCCTAACGCTATTACAAAATAACTGAATAAACAATAACCATTATCTAACAAATAGTTGATATGTCAGTCCTACTGGATCGGTACCTTTCGATTTTTACTTTCCCTGTACATTATCCCACACTAATTAGTTTGTGCACAACTGTTTAAAACAAAAAAAAACATAGTACAGTTTTTGGTTAAAATCAATTAATACCTTTGTTTTAATGAAGTGAAAATGCCGATTTCAGTTTAAATATACATTAGTTAAAGTATTTTTTTCTGATGAACCAATCAGATTCAAGATAGTGACCATTGGAATTTTGCAACAAATTCAAAATCTAATTGTGGATAGTGAATATTTCATGAAAAGCTAAATAAAACCTAGTGATATGTCATTACTAAAACGCTTAAAATTGATAAACATGTGAAGACTGAAGAATAGGTATCCTGGTTTATGGGAATTCGAATGTAACCTGGAAGTTCTTGATGTCTTAAATTGTAGAGCTGACTGTAGAATTATTAATCCCAACGACCAGAAAGCAATCTTCCATTTCATCATCAACTCTAAATCTTAATCCTAACTTCTAGTGGTCACCAATCTTTCTTGAGCTTGTATGTAAGGGATTACCTATCTACATCACCTGTATTTTGATTGTCTAAAAGTTAGTGTCGCTTTGTGAAGATCACTTTCAGAGTCACTAAATATCATGAGTAAAGTGTAACCAAAAGTATTAATCAATAATGATGTGAATTTTGAGAAACTATATTTTATGGATGATCTTGAGAGATTCTCAAAATGACCTTACAAAATCTCAACCACCTAAAAAGTTTAAGACATGGTTAGGAATTAGGATTAGTGATTAAAATTAAGAATCAGGATTAGGATTTTGATCACGAACTAACATCCGCTGTGATTAGAGTTGATAAAAATAATTCTTTTCGTTATCTTTTTTTACTATATAGGTTGGTTACACGATTTAGGTTTATCATCTTATATTCCACAATTTGATAATTGCATCATTGACCCTTATGTGCTAGATCAACTTACTATGGTAAGTCTAACATTAAATGTATATTAGTATTTGTGCTTTTGACTATGACTTTATATATGTATGTATGTGAACGACCTACAATCCACAACGTCTGTTTCAGATACATACACTTCCTTTACGCTTACCCATCTAGTAATGCAAATGTATAGATTGAGAAAAATGCTAGGCTGCTGTAACTAGCAGTTGGAGTTCTGTTGTAGATAAATCATAGGTAGATATATTTCTGACTCAAACAAGGAAACGTAAGCTGAAGGCTTGACGAGGTGCTTAGTCAACTACCTCCGATATTATACCCAGAGCATAACTTCTCACTTATCGTTTGATCTTGAGATGATTTATAAACACAGGCATCAGGTATGTCTATACTCCCCCAGCTTATCAATATGCCTTGGTCTACACAAACGCACAGTGATTTTATTTCATTAGTTTTCTTCTGGATCCATCTCAGTGGTTTAAATGTTACTCCCTTTTCCGTGAGACCCAAAGATTCTAGGCCCTATCTCTTTTGAGCTCACTAGTACACACTGGTAAGAAGTCCTGGTTCTCAACTCTATACCCTAACTAGTCTCAATCCTTGATAAAAATTACGTAAATGATAGTTTAGTAACACTTTTCTCCCTATGATTTCAGGATGATTTATCTGTGTTGAAAATGTCTAATGAATTACATGTGTTAAGTTTACGATGGGGATTACAAATGTTAAGACATATTAATTTTGATAGAAATCGTTTATGCCGAAGTCAAATGGAACAATGTAAGTGAAGTGTTGATAATATAATCGTCTTTTTCAATCAAAATGTTTTATTTTGCCGATATTCTGTACTACTCTTCAATCAACAGATTTTATTAGACTAGAGACCATAGATTTGTACAACGTCTGAGAGTTTCCCTCTCTCCCTGTTCAGTGTTTTTTCGTTATTCGACATTCTCAACTAATTATTTAGTAAATTAGATGACCGACGTAATTTAAAGTCTATTGATTATTGAATGTCATCATGTTTTCTAAGAAGACAACGAAACATCTATAACTAAACTACCCAATTCGAAGAACTCAATACTTCCTGAATTCTCATCTTCAACTATAAATATTCTTCATCTCACAATTATTGTTTCAAAGACAAAACTGTGCTGTCCTCTCCTTAAATCCTGAAAATATTATATTTAATCCCTGGTACGATTTCCGGATGCATACTCGTCTCATATGGGAAGATAATATACAGTGGTTCTGTCCGGCACTTCCATTTTGTTGTTGACCTACAGCCATGTTTAACACATTATAACAATATCTATAATTATAGAAGGGGTTTTGTGGAGATTTAGTATTTATCATTGTTGAAAGCGTGAGTCAATAATATCAGACGAGAATATTTGTGTGTATTTCGAAGATAACAATGCTTACAATCTGTTACGATGATGTTTAATACCATTTTAATAGCTTCATCCTCTTTTATGACATATTCCATTGTGAACAATGCTTGTCTTGCCTAACTTTCTACTATTACTATCGTCCTCAGCTTGATGTCAATTTCTCTTCCACTTTCACCTCGTGAATTTTCCCTCCGACTATACTGCTGCAATATGTGACAACTTAATTCGATGCATATTCATGGTATTTCCAGTGTTATTAACAGTACAAAGTTGTGGAGATTGCTTTGACTGATTGATTAGTCGAATTATTGATAGTATAGGAAAATAAGTAACATCTATATAGGTTGCTGACTTCATTGTACTCAACATTTTGTACATATTCTTTAAAATTAAACTGATAGTCAGAAGGGGTTTTGTGGAGATTTCAGTATTTTTCAAAGTTGAAATCATAAGTCGATTGAAGCTAGACCACCATGGAAAACCTGGAAGCACTAGACGGCCGTTTCGTCCTATTATGGGACTACTCAGCAGCGCGCATCCACGATCCCGCTATGGTTCGAGACTGGTAGGTCCTGAGTTCAAATCTCGCTAGAGCGGGTTCGTGGATGTGCACTGCTGAGGAGTCCCATAATAGGACGAAACTGCCGTCTAGTGCTTCCAGGTTTTCCATGGTGGTCTAGCTTCAATCGACTTATGATTTCAACTTTGAAAAATAAACTGATAGTGTTTATAGTTTGCTATTTTATGTTGAATTATTTTTGAGATTTTTATTTCTTACTTGGTTTAATTAATACAGGTGAAGCAAATTTACCTTGTAAAAGAAATATGTTACATTCTCCTATCCAATCATTAAATCATATTCAAGATAATGTAAAACCTACTAATGAACATAATGGAAATCATGTGCATACCTCTTGCTTGGATACTATTTCTACTTTACAATCGAATTCCATGAATTCTGATATTAGTTTTATTTGTTCAACATATTTACCAATACAAATTTGTTATTGGACTCAACAACGAGTAATGAATTGGTTACAAAGTATCGAATTACCTGAATATGCTAGTGAATTATGTGGAAGCGGTGTACATGGTGCTTTAATGGTAGGTCATGTGATCTCCATCTAAATTCATTGGATTCAATTTAGGTTATTTGTAATATCGATTTGGTTTTGGCTAAACATCCAATGAAAACCATAGGTTACTGGATAACTGTCTGGTCAGTTAGTCAGTCATACGCAACCTAGAACCTCGAACATGTATACATCGGTTCAAATTGCCACATTTCATTGGCACTGTGATATGAAGTTGTCAGGCCAAACCCCAGAGTAGTAGAGGTAATGACGGCATAGTGGTAATAGAAAAGACTGGACTTCCAAGATACGATTTGAGGAGAAAATATGAATCAGTGGAATAAAATAAAACTTGATAAGGTGACGTAAAAACTTAGTATCTAAGAAAATACGAATAAGTGCATCTGAGTCATCACGAAGGATTTTGAGTAATGCCATCTCAAGTCTTTAACCACTCGAATCTCGACCAGGGAATCTTATCCATCCATATGGCTCAGTTTTATAGTCAGTGTCTTTGTGGCCTGATGGACTGTCTTGTTTTGACCCCCTGGCTTTCTTCTTAACTATTCCTATGCTAGTAAACATTTCCGTTTTGTGTGTGAATACTAGTCGTATTATACTACTTACTCACTACCCAGTTTCTCAAACTAAAGCTTTGTAACATAGTGGTTAAAACGCCTATATTTCGCTCATCACACCACTGTTTGTCATTTTGAAACATTTACTATATTTTTTACCTAAAAGACAATGACATTTTATAGCAGATCTACATTATGAACGCAGCATACATGTTTTACTGCCTAATACTATAACTTTTTAAGATAAATAGTTTTAATTACAAAACTCCCACTATAGTCATTCTGGACAATACCATCACGGCTTAACTTTCATTAAAATCTATGAATGACAATATTTCTTCAATTTACTGACTTCTATGCAAGCTTCCTAAGCATGCTTTACCGCAAGAGTGAGACCTCATATTGGTAGGATAACTTCTAAATCTGTGAATTTATGTTGTGCATACCCTTTTTAATATTCACTCATTATACGAAGAACCAGTTGAATTCAAAACTTGAAACACTTATTGTTTCTATAATTCCAAAGGTTCTGTATTTTCCCATTGTTATTAGTCTGAAGTGTAAATCCAATCTGTTTATTTACTAAATATTGGGTTGGGCTTGAGTGAATGTCTCAGTACTGTCGATAATTACAAATGTATTATACTATAGAATAATGGTCAACTGATAAGTCTTTTAATTGAACGCTAGATTCGGCTCCCATAGTCTTCTAGTAACATCCAAGCTAAACCTACAGAACGACTTGAGAACGAGAGGAAGGTCGCGAAATATGAAACAAATGCTTTACTCCAAGGCTCGTTCACGTACAGAAATTCTAGGGTATTTATATTATTTTAGATGGCCTTGAGCTTCCGGAGATTTCTAGAATGTTACTTAACACAGTAGTAGTAGATATAAGAACTTTCGTCTAAATTAGAGCGAATAGTTTCACAGTATTTTAGCGCTGACTTGATGTAAGACATTAAAATAGGAATAATATATTTGTAAAATCTCAGCGAATGGATTTGAAGTAAGGACACTGTTAGGTGTCATAATTCTTCTAAATGAAGATACTTCAACTTCCAGTCCAGAGTTTAAATAGTTTAAATTATTTTTCCTGGTAACTGTTATCTTATAAAGATTGTTTTCTACGGAATGGGGTTGATGATCCCATCTTCGACCCTCAATCTCTATCCGCGCTTGAGAGTGACATTAACCCGTGAAGGACTACAGGTATAGCTGGTAGACGACTGATAGATGATAATTTTCACTATGGAGTTGTGGAAATTGTTGAATTTCATTGAGATGGTATAACTATCTAAGTAAAATAAACATTATCAATCTGGAACCACTAGATGTCTGTTTTTCTTACTATGGAACTCCTTGGCAATATGCATCTTCGACTCCGTGACCACTTAGGCGTTAGCACGTGAGACCGAAGAACTTTTGTTCGATTCCCGATTTCGCGGTTATGAATGCGCATTTCTGAAGAGTCTCAAATTTGGCTGAGAAGACCGTTCAGTGCTTCCAGATTATCAATATTCGTTTAACTTATATCGGTTAGTAATTTCAGTCTAATACTAGATGACACCCAGTTAATCAATATATTGAGACCCTCTCCTAGCGCTGATAGTTTTTACGGTTACTCTTGTGACCAGTTGTCTAATTCAATAATAACATCACAATATTAGTTTAATTTATATTCAACTCTTTTATTTTTTATTTTTTACTCTAAAAGATTCTAGAAGATCGTTTTACACCAGATCTTTTAGCTGATATTTTGAGAATTCCTCCAGTAAAATCACTTGTTAGACGACATTTAACAAATAAATTTATTGAACTTGTTGGATTAGAGATATGGAAGCGCAAACAACATAATGAAACCATTAATCATAATAATAATAATCCACTGACAATACATTCTAAAATTAAAGTAAGTGAATAAATTTCTTGTTATTTAATTTAAAAAAAGTAAATAATTATTCAGTTAGATAACTGTTATGTTGGAGGAGTTGTGCTTTCTCATCGATTTTATTTCGTTATTTGGGGGAAGACATGGAATTCAGCCTCGATATAGCCATTGTTTCACAAATTTATATAAATCGAAAGTCACTAGCAGTGAGATCCAGGCTACTTTCAGTCGATAAATCTCTAATAGAATGAAACACACGTCTTGAATTCCACTTCTAGCCACAGTCTATCCATATAGTATTATTGTATTATTATAAACAATTTGCGTAATGCTTAAGTTACATGAAATCAAAATAAATCTTGGTAACGTAATTTGATGATAAAATAAAGGTTGATTTCATTATCTAAAAGGAACTAAAGTTCTCAGTTATTAAGTAACTAGTTTAAAGTCTATTATGAAACTACTTCATTCAAATACGAGTTTGAACTATCTCGCTAATATTCAGGACTGGGTTTCGACCCGTCCTTCTTTTCATTTCTGTACTCTGTGTCGCTGATTTGTCACAAATTCTTATAAAATAGGTGGATTAAAGTGAAAGGTAGTAGGTTCGAGTTCCAATGTGACAAGACTCTAACCACAATCCATCTATTCTATGAAGTGATGCTCGGTGATAACTAGCTTTGAATGTAATTTTCGGAAACCTAGTAAGTCGTAGTGACCTATGGATTTTAATCTTCATCAAAGTTAAATAAATAATATGTAAAGAACTTGATAATAGTTAAGCTTTATATTCACGAACAAGTTAAAATTGCAGAATGTGGATTACTGGATTCCCACTCGGTGGTGAAGAGTATCATCCCCATCCCTTCAGACTGATCAGTCCTGACTTCATAATATTAAACCTAGTGAACATAGATTTCCCTTAAACATAGCCGTCACTGAGTAAATCAGTGGAGTCTAATCTTGTCAGTGTGAGTAAGGTACTCACTGAAGACGGTGGAACATGGTCGGGTAATATCACTAATGATTGAATTTAGACTTGTATACCACTGTATTCTAGATCACTAGTCTGGAGGCTTAACGTTCGAGCTCGATAGCGACGTCCTGTATTCAATCCCTGGTTACAAAGTTGTGGATAAACGCTGGTAACGAATATCATACTACGAAAATGCAGCTATCCAGTGCTTCCTGTTTCCCACTGGTTGTCTGACTTAGATTTCGGTTCATGATCTTAATAAAATGTTTAACTCTTTATCAATTGTTTTTCTCGTATTATCTAACACTTTTAAAAATATGAATAGTTTACGAAAAAGAAAAATATTTTCAATTCTAATCGTGGACACAAATCCAACCATTACAATCATGTTAGTAGTGTTGGCGATGATGATGTTAGTACTGAGCTTGTTTGTCCTATTGAAATCGATGCTAGTCATATGAGTATCTTTGTAAGTTTTATTATCACAATTAATTTGTTCTGTACATGTACTCCATAATAAACATTATGTGTATATTTCAAATGTCATACATATTCCATTCAAACATTCATTTTTCTAAGATGAACTGACGGTTCAGTGGGCAAGGTTTTTGATTCTCTACTACTAATTAACATGTCTGAATCACGCCCAAATTGTTTCGATCTGAATAACCTTGAATTGTCGCTAAACTTCAAGTTTGAAGTGTAACATGAAGCTATGTACACTAGTTTGCACCTGGTGAATGATTTGGGTCAATAAATGTTTGACCTTGAAGAATTATTTGTAGGTAGGAGGGAAGAACAGTCTTTTTTCGAACCTGTATGAAGCTGAACAGATACATAGATATTTTTTCAACAAAGGACTGCACATATCTCGAATAGACTGTTGACAAGCGAAAGCGATTCTCTTTTCCTGTTGACACTGTTATTTAATACCAGATGTATGTACTATTGAATTTCAAACCGAACACTCTATATACTACCGAAAACGTAATTATTGTATTCACTTAACCCTATACAAACGCAATACAACTAAACCGACGAAATACAGAGAGAACACAATAAAGGACTTTACCATCCAAATACTAGATTCCAAAATAATATTTCAATTACCTCATATATGTGTAACTGACCAGTCATTAATTAATATTTGGTGAACAATACAAATTAATGTTATACTGAATCAATCCTTCGACATTTTATCATGCGAATCTAGTTACTAATGTCACCAAAAATACATTTGTCACAAATCAATAAAATGAGTTACTTAATCATTCGTCTGACTCCAGTACTACTTCATATGTTTTGCTACTTAATTTCCATTTGTCAGTAGCAAACGTAATGCCGTTAAATTTATTGTATTGGTTGTGACTGGCTAATACATAGTAACGTGATTGCAACTGATCTAGAAAATATTATGAGACTGAGTAAAAAAGAGTGAATTAAAATGAAGAAATGACATGTAAAACAACTGTTAACATATTTGTTTGTAGGACTCCTGAGTAGTGCACATCCACAATCCCGCCTCGCGAGATTCCAACCCAGGACCTATCAGTCTCGAGCGCAAGCACTTAGCCGATAGACCACTGAGCTAGCCGGCATCCGATGGTGTTGATATCTAACTTCAACCAGTCCACGAAGCTGAACAACCGTTCACCAATTGTCTTCAGTGAGTTGTTATCTCACAACAGACCTGGTTGAACTCCACTGGTCACTGCTTCTCACTAGAACTTAATTTTTTCCTCGATGAATTCCCAATGGGATAAATACAGCCTTACAGGATTGCCATTGTAATACCAGAGCTAGCCACTATACAACTAATCCTTATTTGGAAAGAAGAGAATTTTTAATATTCCATCTTAACTTAGAAACAGTGAAGTGATGATTTAATTCATGGTTAACTTCTTGACTCGTATGACTATATTTGAAAATTTACTATATAATTAGTTTATACATAGAAGAGAAAAATGACGTGTACAGTTACATATGAGATCCTAAAAGTCATGGTATCATCTAAACATTAAAATGTGTGTAAAAGCCAGTAATAGATTCCGGAGTTTTACAAGTTAGCTTAAAAGAGCATATAAATACATTAGAACTGTTTTCTAAACATATTTCAGAACATTTTTTGGCCTCTGGTACGTTTCAGCAAGCAGTTGTAGGGACTTTTAAAATCATATATAATGTCATCTATATCTCAAAACCTTCCAAACAATCCAGTCAGTTATCTAACCAGAGGTTATTCTCCTCCATTAAAAGAACCTTAGAGTAGGTCGAATAGGCTTGGTGATTTATGGAACTTGAAGAGCTGTTCTTCAAAAATCTCTACTTATCATTCAAGATTCTATTGAGGCTTGTTGATAGACATACCACCAATCTCACCGATTTTTTCACTTACACCATACATCTTGCCCCCAGTGACTTGTAGGAGTTGAAACGGGTTTTTGGACATCCTGTATACAGATGCTGCCTTCATGTCGACAGCGCTCTCCACTAAGTGTCCTAGTCCTTATGCAAATCTGTCATGAATTTATTACTTAAAAATCCACATTTGCCATCAAAATCAAAGTTATCCTGGCTATACCAATCTGCTCCAAACTGTTGAAAGGAGCTTTCAGAAACCTAGTGCCTATAAGCTGGACTTTATACTAACCTTAAAGCGACTTCACTTGTCATTTCCGTGGCTTCATGTAAATGTAACAAATGCTCGCTCGCTTTTGCCTTCACATTCATAAACAACATTCTAGTTGCGAGAAAGTAGTGAACAAAACTTCCCTTTTAGAAGCTATAAACGCGCGGCAATACGAAAACATTTTTAAAGAAAGAATGTATTCTCACGATTCTCTGTTGTACTATGTAAAGTAAAATGAGTAGATAAGTTCATGTTACTGAGAAATGACACTGTTCACAAAAATCGCAGTATGGAGACAAAATGCTTGTTTCCTGGATGTCAACATTAACCTCTTCTGTTTACTGGTGTTATGATATACAAGAGCAAGCCTTCGGACTCCTTGCTTTTTTACTCTGTAAGAGATTTTTAACTGAATTATCAGTCTGTAGATTTTCGGTTTCACCTGTTCGTTCATACTGTCTCATTATGCATCCAATCAGTACGCAGTATGATCGATTGAAAATCAAATATTCTACAGTTTTATGTTTACCGTAATCGGTTCGACAGTACTGACGATCAAATATCGTTCTAAAATATTAAAATTTTTACCTTCGAAATCAACCATTAGCCCATAATTCTAAGTTTCAAGGCCATTGATTTGTGATTCAAACCGGACTTTGCGAAAATACCAATCATTAGGTAGTTAGTGAGACCAGATACCGGATAGTGTAGTAACTAACGTTACCACCGTAGAAAATCCCAGTTTACAAGCTTATAATTCAGTGCTTCAGCTTACGGTTACTCCTCGAAAAAAGTCGTTAAAAATACGTTAAACGACGACTAAACCCGAACCAAATGTGTATTTCCAACATGGTAATCCCTACAGGGTATTTTTTTAGTCAACCTTTTACAGAAAGCTCTATTGTAATTTTGTATAAACAAATGGATTTCCATGTAATTTCTTGGCATGATGAAACAAATTGATTTATATTTTTATATATATTCTTGTTATAACGTTCAATAGTTCTTCAGATAGTATTTAGTTGAATACTTGTCATCACAAAATGAGGCAGTAGATAGACACCCCAAAAAAATATTTCTTGCTAATTTATAAAGCCTTTTTTATAACTGGCCCACTTTTCATGAATTTATATATATTTCAACAGGCCGAAGAGGTAGTCAAACCTAATCGTCAAAGCATGCACCTACGAGCAGAAAACGTTCCAACAGTACTCATAGATCCAGTTGCTACAAATGTACAGGTGAGTTTTATTTTTCAAAAGTCGAATTGTAAATTAACTACTGATAATTAATTAAGTAGTAAAAGCTAAACGGTTAAAACATGGATAGCCACTCCACATTCATGTATGGTTGAAGTGGATGTCGAAACTGAATGATAATGCGCATTAATTATGTAGAATGAATACAATAAAATCAATATGGGTGGAATGCGATTCGATATTTAATCATTTACCAAATGTTTTTTTCGTATTCGAAAGTAAATAAAAATATTTTAGCACTTACTCATTGACTTGCATTTTTCAAGATAATGAATTACCACAATACGGGTATTTATGAGTATTTATCTATAATTGACTTGTTGACGAAAGATTATTCGTCGTTGAAGCGGTCTAACTCAGGCATCGACCATGACACTATTTAATGCTATTCGGTCGTATGAACAGTAACAGTTCTATAATGACTACAGGATACCTAGTTTTTGAAGTCATGAACCGTTGGTCCCTCTTCAACAGGTTAATTCACCATCCATCAAAGTGTAGTGTTTACGATATAAAAACGTTGGAAACTAACCGGCGCATTGCAAGTTGATCGACAGAATCAAATCAACACTAAGGAGACTGTATTATCACATTACTTTTTGTGAGTATATAGCCTATTAATGTTGAAATATCTCAGTCATTAAAGGAGATCAGCCATAAACCAATGATACCTCAGTGATAAACAAAACTGATCTTGAGAATTTATCATTCTAACACAGATAACCATTCGATCAAGTGATCAGTAGTTTTTTTAACTAAGTAATTAAATTAAATAAGTCTTGCTGCTAAAAATAGATATTAATAATCATTAAAATGAGAACAATTTTGGAAATCCAGCACTTTAAAATGACAGTTTGCTTGTTCTTCTTTTAACTTGTGTGTTTCTGCATTTGATTCCCCCTCTCCTCCTCTCTCTTGGTTCGCTTTCTCTATTCCTCCAAACAGCATCTGGAACTTCAAGAAACTGACTTGTGAATCAAGTATGTTGACGATGTTTTTTTATCCCATTTTCATGTTAATTAATCTATACCGACATCCATGTAACCAAAGAACTATTCAATGATTTTTTTTCAGAATAAACTTTACTCAGAGTTTAAGCCTTTATTATTAAAAGCAAATATAAAATAACGTATATCCTTTTCGAGATGTGAAGTTTTAATGAAAAATTATATTGCCTGAAGGTGGCTGTAACTCACTCACCAACTTACCTAGTTTTGCTAGTTTCAATATGGGATTCATGGAGTTCTAATGATAGGTTGTAACTATTGTAGTTCAGTCAATTCAAAAAGTTGTGTGGGCATGTAGCAGTTGTCCACAGATGTATGGTGTTTTCATGATTAATGCTGATCACTCCAAAACTGACTAAAATTGAATAGATGAACTATGGAATTCTAATTTACCAAACTAAAAGTACCGTTTTAACTGTCAGATTTGAAAGTTCTTATTTCAATGTTGCACGGTTGATTACTGTTATAACAAGAATGAAACACTAGTCCTCATGTTCAGGGATTTGTTAGAGTTCTTCAAAGTGAGTGTAACAGTCCGTAATACGTATTTAATACTACGATTGATATTAACCTCCACAAACCCTACTGTGATCGCTTAGTATTTATTACTTTTATTAGTTCAAAGGTTTTTGCGGAAATGGTCTAACTGGTAGTTTTTAATTCATCACAGATGGATTTCAATTAAAATTTCACTTAAAACTTAGCAGCACTGGATATCTGTTTAGTCATAGTTTGGGATTGATCAATGATAATGAGAACTCATGATAGGGAATAAAGCTAGGTTCTTTAGATTTCATAGCAAACACTTGACAATTCACACCATTGAATCGGTGTCTGATAGTATGATTCCAAATATAACCACTTCATGATGTAGTTGAAAGCATGAGTCAATTGAAGCTAGACCACCAAGGAAAACCTGGAAGCACTGGATGGCCGTTTCGTCCTATTGTGGCACTCCTCAGAAGTGCGCATCCACGACCTCGCCTCGTGAGATCCCAATCCAAGAACTACCAGTCTCGCACCAGAGCACTTAACCGATAGACCACTAAGCCGGCTTCCGATGGTGCCCAGTGCTTCTAGGTTTTTCTTGATGGTCTAGCTACAATTGACTAATGCTTTCAACTATGAAAATACTAAATATCCACAAAACCCCTTCTGATTAATTCATGATATATCCATAACAATCATCAAATTGCATTAATGATAGTTGTTCTACTCCTGACATGTTTGAACTTGACTAGAAATATATCAATACAATAAATTTAATTCAGAGCAGAATTTTCGAAAGAAAAAAAGACCCCATATCTATTTATCCTCTTTTGTCTCATTTAATTCTAGTTGTAACTGGAAAACTTATTCCGATTTTCGGTTATATTTTTTCCTGTGATTATTATCCAAATGAAAAAGAGTGAATAATGAATTTCTTTGACTGACCACCTGTTACCTATCTTGTTTTTGATATAAGAAGTATGTAGGTACTCCCCTAATTTATACCTGGGCTAAATAATGTTTTCCCTATTATCCTACTGTTATATATATGCATAGTATGTACGGAGATATTTCTTTAGCTATACCATGTATTCTATCATGTTCTCATTGTTATTGTAGTCGGTATTGTTGTTGTTATCTCGTTTCTTGTATAACATGTATACCGTGATACAATTTCTTTCTCTCTATATGATTAGTTTATACACATATCTAAGTATCTAAACATTCCTTGTTTGGTTGTTTGCTTTATTGAACATTGTGTTAAATTCTCTTTCTCACTTTCTTTCCTTCACTTTGCGTTTTTTGAGTTGAAATTTTCTTGGTTTTCCAAGAAAACTCATTTCATTATATACCTTCATCTGTTTCATTTTTATAAATAAAAAAAGTTATATGTATGTATAGACTTATCTACACTTGTTAAGTTAATTCTTTTTAAAAAAAAGAATGATTCCTTAAGTATACCACATCATCAACATCACTATATTCCCTTAAACTCCATACATTCCATTAATTTCTATCAATGTATATCACTTTCTCTACAATCTATGTATCCTTTGTACATGTTCGTGCAAAAAAGAAAGCATGAAATAATCGAATATAAAAAAAAAGAGAAGCAGAGAGAGAGGGAGGGAGAGGGGCGGTGGGGGGGTTTGGAAAGAAGATCATTATGCGTTATACATTTTTACTTGTTGTTGTTGTTGTTGTTACTGTTACTATTTTGTTTTTGTTTTGTTTTGTTTTTTGTTTTTTACATCTCATGTCCATTATTTTGTTAAGAACTATGAAAGAAAAATGTCTTCCTTCTGTGGTTTACTTTACCTTTTTCCATCTTTTAGAATTTATTTTATTGTTGTTAGTCTAACTGTATAACTTTTTATTAGTGTAACACATTTTTTTATGACATCTATACCCTACTTACTTACGCTAATGTATATCACAATAATAATAATAATAATAATAATAATAATAATAGTGATAAACAGCATCATTACTAACATTACTACTAGTAGCAGTGCTAGTAGTAGTAGTAGCAGTAGTAATAGTGATAATTTTAAATGAGTAAAAGAAATTTCAAAACAGATGGTTACTTGTCAATTATTAAATTTCCGGACTATACCTAAACGGTTTGAACTGAAAATAAATATTTTATAGTACAATATGAATACTTATATGATTATAATGTATATTGTTTATTGGATATTAAAAGGTGTGAATATATGTACTAATTATTGACCATAGTTATCGTTTAGAAATTAAATTTCATTGCGATTATGAATCAGTCTAGGTTGGAGCATCACTATGAACCTGAAAAGTCGTTTGGTCCCAGTATGGGACTCTTTAGCAATGTGCATTCACGGACCAGCGCATGTGAATCAAACCCAGGACTTTCGATCTTTCGTGAGAACGTCTAACCTCTAGACCACTGAGTCGGCATCCGATGGCATTAATTCCTGACTTCAATCAACCCAAAACATTAAGAGGCTACCTTTTGTTGTTTTCGGTGAGTAACTGCCTCATAACCTATATGGATTAGCTCTGCTAGTTATGGCTTCTCACTAGAACTCCGCGAATTTCTTCTCAAAAATAGACACTAGTCAGCCCATAACAGTTATCAACAAAGAGTTGTTGAGAACCGATTCAAGTTAAGTCACCATTGAAAACCTGAAAGCACTAGACGGCAGTTTCGCTCACGTATGGGAATGCTTCCTCAAAATAAATGACTAAAACATACTTATATAAGCTTTTCAGAATTATTGATTTGAAATTTCAGTATAGTTCGTTTTAATGTTTATTTCTTCTCATATCAATTGGGTATGCAGATGTAAACTACCTGATTATGATCTACACGACTATCTTAGCTAGTACGTAGAGACATTCACTCTTTTTCACAAAATACCTATATCCTTTTCACGAATTCATTGTTACTTTCCAATCAATATTGTTTGTAATTATTTTTCTACTACTAGTGATGCTGTTTCGATTTCTATTACTCTCGTAGTTATCTTGATAATTTCATCTGACTGAGTCAATGAATATAAGTGCTAGGTTGTACATTGCTTGTTACTGACTGATTAATCAGCTTTCAGTGTTCAGTGGACTAGAAAGTGACACAATAGACACTGAACTGCTGAAATTATTGGTTTCAAGCCAAGTAAAATTAAATGATGTGTTGTTATTCAGTTCAGGTCCAGAATGGTTGAAAATTACAAAAAAGTTTTACAAATCCTTTGAATAATACACATTGATCTTCAATAAGTTGAACACTTTTTTTGGAAAAAAAAGCGATTGAATAATGTAAGAATTACTCTCAGTAGTACAGAGCTCCAGTCATTCGAAAACTGTTACTGATCTAATTGATTGGTATGGAATCTTAGCATAGATTTTTGAAGCTTTTACACCAACCGCTATGTACCTTTATTAAGGATTTATATCTTCCTATTGCTGATGTTCAGGACCATAATTGATCAGTATTTGTTTTCTTATGTGCTTTGTAAGCGGATTGCTCTGGTATGGAGTTAAGTCAAAACATTTAGTGTATTTAATTCATAGCTTACAGTGGAACCCAGAACACACGTTTCTCTCCAATTGGTATATGTCAGTTCCATCATAGTGTCGATGTTCAACTTGAGACTCGAACCCAGTAATTTTCAGTTGAAACTCAAATGCCTTATTCACTGTGGCACTGATTCCAAATAGTTACCTTCGCAACTGTTAGACAGTTTAATGACTACATCTACTCACTAGCACAGTGGATAACTTGTTCATTTTCGAGTCAATGTATAGCAAGTTCGATTTTGGATGTGTACTTCAATAATGATTTGTAGGTACTGAAGAGTTCCAAGTCGAACGAAACGTATGTTCTAGATTCCACTGTTAACCATGTACCAAATATATCATAACTCATGACCCAAGGCCATATCATGGCAGTTCGCTTAGGATGCATAAAAAACAACAGAGACTCATCGATTGTTTTTCTGAATGTCAATAATATGTAATTACAAACTCTGACTAAAGTTAAAAAATTATTTGATCCAAAATCTATAGAAACCCAACTCAACCATATTCTATTCGTTTAGTCATCATCAGTCCCTTCAATATTATGTTTATGTCTTTTCGACGAGCCCCAACTAGTAAAATATCCAAGTTAAATAGCGTATTCTGTTGACCACCTACCTTTAACCATTTAAAACCCCAATACACCTAGTCAACATGATTATACGTCAGTTTAACAATATTTGTTACGATGATAGTAATACTGTTTTTAAGGATGAAATAATTTAACATAATGAATCCAATCATCTCTTATTGTCTCTATCAATAATGATGATTAGAATAAGTTTATAATCAACAATTAAACTCAAAGACTACTAATAATAATGAAATTTTATTTACTTTTTCTAATAATACCACATTTACTACTGTTCACTTCCGGTATATATTTGTATGGAAAAATAATTTCTATGTTTATAAGTCTATTTAATGTCATCCTAATTTGCTTTCTCGAAATCTCTAGTAACAGTTTGTTTTTGTTTTTATATTTAAATTTTGTCCATATTGACGTCGCATAGTTTCATTTTTCACTTGTCATTTACATATCCAAATGAGAGTAAGTATCAATACATTTCTATGTAATATACATATATGAGCAAATGTATCAATATTATAGAGTTGAGATCATGAGTCAATTGAAGCTAGACCACCATGGAAAACCTGGAAGCACTGGACGGCTGTTTCGTCCTATTATGGGACTCCTCAGCAGTGTGCATCCACGAACCCACTCTCGCGGGATTCGAACCCAGGACCTACTAGTGACTGACTCCTTGAGGTATTTCCTGGAGTTCTAGTGAGAAGCGGTAACCGGTGGAGTTCAACCAGGTCTATTGTGAGATAGGAACTCACTGATGATATTGGTGAATGGTTGCTCAATTTCGTGAATCAGTTGAAGTTAGACATTAACACCGTTGGATGCCAGCTCGGTGGTCTATCGGTTAAGGGCTTCGGCTCGAAACTGGTAGGTCCTGGGTTCGAATCCCGCGAGAGTGGGTTCGTGGATGCGCACAGTTCAGGAGTCCCATAATAGAACGAAACGGCCGTCCAGTGCTTCCAGGTTTTCCATGGTGGTCTAGCTTCAATTGACTCATGATCTCAACTCTATAAAATTACTGAAATCTCCACAAAACCCCTTCTGATGTATCAATATTAGTTAAAAATGAATGTATATATGAAGGTAGTCACTAATGTAGTATGAAATACTTACACTATGCTATAAATATCATAAGAATATACACATTCACACATAACCACATACAGTTGAGATTTTATTCTCTAATAGATCTTAAAGAAAAGGATAAATTTTCGGTCTATGATAACCTGACCTACTTTTATTCTACTAACTAAGATTATATATATATATATATATTCCAGTTATTACTAACATCCTAATTCGACCATTTTGTTATTTCGTTCTACTACTACTACTACCACTATCACTAGTGATACTTCCGGTCTATTTGGGTTAAAAGAACTGCTTCTTATAATCTAACTTTACCCACCCACAGTGATTATTATTATTATTATTATTATCCCTGTGTCATTTATGGTATTGAGTCTTACCACGTGGATTTGAAAAATGAATGAATCTATACGTATGTAGGGGTGTATATTTTCTAGTTAAGCAATAACCTCAAAATAGATTCGTGCTTACAGTCAACTTATTCTGTGTATCACATTCAAGTTGACCTTATTCATTCCCCCCACTCTATCCCGTTGTCTCTCTCACTCTCTCTCTCTCTCAATCTCTCACATATATTCACTTGATCATAAACATACACATACGCACACACACACACACACGAGTATATTTAAAATAAAACTAATTATAGGCCCTCAAGGTTTATTTTATTACGAGTTGACTTTGTTTCGTTGAAAAACTTTTCAAATTTTTGTTGTATTCATCTTATCTTAAATGAATTATTTCTCGGTTTCTTATTTCGGTTAAAATATACCATTGAAATTTTTAACATTCATGTATATATGTGTGCATGTATACGTGTCATTATGCAAATCTGTTCACAGTAGATCTTGTTCTATGCTTGAGGAAAAACAAAAACAACAACAACAACAGTGAAATAGAAAAAAGGCATATTTACAATGACGGTAATATCAATACCTTAGCCTATGTTAATCTAAGGTCATATATGTATCTAACCGTAGAACTAATGATCATCATAGTAATATAACTATATATAGTACTGTAGACTAATTAATATTATTTGCCAGAACAGAGAGGACAATTCCACACATACATACACGCAAAACGCAACTAGTTTGATTTCATTCAAAGTTGTTGTGATTGTTGTTTTCTATCGAAAAATTCCTCAGAAATAAAAGTTTAAATTTTTTTTGTTGTTTTCAAGAGAAACGGTTAATTATTTCAGTTCAAAATTTAAATTTTTAAAAAAAAGTAGGAATTATATGAGGTTATCACAAGGGAGTTTATTGTGGAGATTTTAGTAATTCTTATATAGTTGAAATCATGAGTCAATTGAAGCTAGAACACCATGGAAAACCTGGAAGCATTGAACGGCCGTTTCGTCCTATTATGGGACTCCTGAACTGTGCGCATCCACGATCCCGCCTCGTGAGAGATATCAACTCATTGAAGACATTGGTGAATGGTTGTTCAATTTAGTGGATTGGTTGAAGTTAGACATTAACACCATCGTATGCCGACTCAGTGGTCTATCGGTTAAGTACTCTGGTGTGAGGTTGGTAGGTCCTCAGTTCCAACCTTACGAGGTGAGATCATGGATATGCACTACTGAGGGGTCCCACAGTGGGACGAAACGACCGTGCAGTGCTTCCAGGTTTTCCATGGTGGTCTAGCTTAGACTGACTCGCGATTTCAACTATGAGAATAAATTCAAATGAATACATCTCAGAATTTAGGAATTTTTTTTAATCGCTTTTAAAGAATCTTCTAAATAGACTTTGTTTACTTCAATTTGTTGATTTAAGAAACTTTATTAGTTCAATGGTATTCATGAAAATAATATGGAATTGGATTGTGATCTGCTTTCGATTGTATTACTGAACTAATCTGAGTGAGTGAGTGAGTGTAAGATTCGAATTTCACAAGAATGATTAGAAGTATATTGATGTTGATAATCGTCGATAAATTAGAAAAGATCAACATTTGCATATAAGATTTTAAGTCAAACTCTACTGATGAGTATTAGTTAGGAGGAAACCTATATCAAAACACGATTTATTGTTGATTAACTTCAAGCACTCTATATACATCAAAATGCATAGAAAACATGAGTCATTTATATCACTGGTCAGATTTCAGCCTGATCACTAGAATATGATTAAAACTAAAGATAAGACAAGTATGAAAATGACTTTGATTCGACAACCATTACAAACCGGTGAACAGTGAACATCTATTGAATCTTACTTTGGGACTTCACAGTTTACATCTACGGCTCTATCAGAATCTTTGGGCTTTGACAACTGGCTAGGCGCTGCCGTTGAGGCAAGTAAGTACTCAATTCTATTCCTCGTAGTCTTATGGATGTACATTAATTAGGAGTCTCAAACTAAGATAAAACACATGATCAAAGCTTTCCGGTTTGTAATGGTTGCTGAACTAAAGTCAATTCATAAGTTGTACGTGTATAAAAATTATTAATTAGATATATTTTGAAAATAGCTTTCGTTGTGAAATAACGTCAAGCAATGAATTACTGAAAAAGACGAATTATTTGACACATGTTCCATTTTCGTCTGTAACGCCTAGAGATTATGCAACCTCAACCGTATATTCACACATAGGATAATACTTATGATTTTCAGACATCAAATTGTTGAGAACAGTACCACCGTTTCACTAAAGTGGTATGTCGTCCATTATATGTATATATAATGACCATCGTTTCCTCTAACTGTAACAAATCGAATTGTGATGTGGGTTACTTATATCCACATAAGTAGTATGTGGTGATGGTCAGACATAGAATGTATTTTGGCAGAAGATCGATAAGGAAAGAACAGGAACAAAGCGTAATCGGTGTGACAATGCATGAGCAACCAAATCAGAGAAGATGAACTGATATTTGCAGAAGGAACAGTCAACATTGAGATAATTGATTATTATTTTGCAAATTAACTATTTACTGTATGGTTATCAGATTTTAGTGAGATAGCTTGTAATTTTTGCATTCGATCGTCCTCCCTCATATCCTCATTCACAACATAAGGACCCTCAGTCTCGTGTGCTATCACTTAACCTCCAGACCGGCAAGCCGCTATCCAACGGTGTTAGTGTCTAACTTCAGCCAGTCCGTGATCATGCACAACCCTTCATTCATTCGCTGATAACTGTCACACATGCGACTTGGATCGAACTTCACTGGCCACGGCTCCTTACTAAAGCCCTAGGAAATCTATATTGGTGCTAGTCACCAGTGATCACATGAATATTATTGAAATGAGGATTTGTAGAAGTTAAGCGTTCGCGCACAAGACCAAGGGTCCTTGGTTCGAATCCTGCATGCAGAATCGTGAATGCACACTGCTAAGGAGTACCATACTAGGACTTCTATTGTCCCCACTCGTCTGTTCTGTTCACTACAGAAGGTTCGTTCCTAATTTATTTATCCAAGATACATCATATCCGGACTATTTAAGTCTCTTAATAGATGATTAACCAACAGATTACTTATTAATTACTAAACTTCAAAGTACTTCTATCTAAATCTAACAGTTATGTGTTCCATCCCTAACATGATAATAAATATACACTGTTATAAAAAGACAATTAATTATTACTATTATTGGAAGGGGTTTTGTGGAGATTTAGTATCTTCATAGTTGAAAGCGTGAGTCAATTGTAGCTGGACCACCTTGGAAAACCTGGTAACACAGGACGGCCGTTTTGTTCCCTTGTGGGACTCCTCAGTAGTGCGCATCAATGATCCCGCACTCGGGAGATTCGAACCCAGGACCTACCAGTCTCGCGTCAGAGCACTTAACCGATAGACCAATGAGCCGGCGGGATCATGGATGCGCACTGCCACTGAGGAGTCCCATAATAGGACGAAGCGGTCGTCCAGTGCTTCCAGGTTTTCCATAGTAGTCTAGCTTCAATTGACTCACGCTTTCAATTAATTATTAATCTATTACTTTATCAATTCTTTTTTATTACTTTTTCTAGATAAATGAAAATAAACTATTTTGGATACGTAAATATGATGAGCCAAAATATTACCCATATTGTTATTGATTAATGTTTATCGATTAAATCAATGTACAAACACAACTCAACAACTATTTGTACACAATGATTTCTTCCATCAATCTCTTCATCATCATCATCATCATCTTCATCATCATTACCCTTTGCCCTACTGTATTGTCCATTACGCCTTAGATTTGTATCTACTTTCAATGATATATTATACCATTGATGTAAGAATTCCATTTCATTATTCAATCAACAAAATAATCAATACAAGATATCAGAACATACAATTCAACAGCATAACCCCTCCCCTCGCCGTCCTCACGCACACAGATATACACAAACGTAATAATGTATAGCTTAACTTTGTTGATTTAATTATTTTCTACATATATATATGACTATGATCTCTATCATATAATCATTGCTCAATTTCATACAGGATCTTCATATTCAACAACAATGAAATCTTATTCAATGAACATCTAACTATCCTCTATTAAGATTACTTATTACTATCATCTACATCTTGATCATGGGTTTTCTTTTCCTGTTGAAAAAGAATTTGTTCCACAGTTCATTTTTCTTTTTCTCTTATGATTTTGCCTTTCTTTACATTGTCAGTTATTTTATAATGCTTCTTCTATGTTTTATTCATGTGGTACCAAGTGTACAAGTATATGTATTGATCATATTGGAATTTGTCATCATATAATACTATCATGATGGATAATAATTATTATGGATTGAACGAATGGTGTTGACTAATTAATAAAAGAATAAAAATTATTTTTTTTAAAAATAGAGAATTATTAATAGATTTTTATATATACTTGAAATCATGAGTCAATTGAAGCTAGACCACCGTAGAAAACATGAAACCACAGGACGGCTGTTTCGTCTTATTATGGGACTCCTCAGTGGCAGTGCGCATCCACGATCCTGCACTCATGAGATTCGAATCCAGGACCTATCAGTCTCGCGCTACTGATAGACCACTGAGCCGGCATCCAACGGCGGGATAGTGGATGCGCACTGCTGAGGAGTCCTACAATAGGACGAAACAGCCGTCCAGTGCTTCCAGGTTTTCGATGGTGGTCTAGCTTCAATTGACTCATGATTTCAAGTATATTTGAAAATTTCTTAAAATCTCCACAGAAAACCCCCTATTAATAGATTTGTTAAATGTTTTATTTGGATACTCCTAGTACATATACCCAAATAGTGTCTACTTTAACAAGTGATGTTTTTCTAATAGACTAAGGCTGTGACAAAGATTGAAGTGATCAAATCAAGCAATGGTATCAGTTTATAAAATTATTAACTGTTAGATTGAGCAGTATAGGTAAGTCCAGATTGTGTGGTTTAGGTCCTTACAATTATCGTAATCAGTAATTGGGAATATTGAGGACTATTGAGTACATTTATAATGGACCAAATGTATTCACTCCTTGCCTTTCTTTGAACATTAAGTTTTAAAACTATCTTACACTTTCCATTCTGAGAATTCATTATATTTTATTGAGTCATCTTGCTTATTACCGCTACTACTCTAGGATTTATCTTAATCATTTCACTGTACTGACATGGTGTGGCAACTTGAATCGGCATACATCTATGTCAGATTCTTCGTTACTTATGACCGACCAATAAAATTAAATAGTTCAATGACGCATCAAAAAATGATGTACGTTAAATGGATGAAGGAATGATACTATTAAGAAAATTAAAACTGAGGATAGAGTACAATCACATAGGAAATATAACTGAAAAATACTTTTCCAATTAGGAACGTTCCTTTCAGTTTCATGATTTTTACTAGCATCCATTCTAACGCATATCTGATAGCGTCTGATGTAACTAAATTCCATGGCCTTTAGTACTGCAGTAGAGGTATACTAGAGAGAACAATTCGAATTTGGACAAGTTATGCATCAAACATACATTCATTTAATTATTATCTGTGATGGAATGTTGTACACTACCTACTCACTCGTTACAATCTCTTTTTGCTTGCACATATTTAGTGGAGTAAGATATAATGCTCAATAAAGTTTTAATTTCTTCAAAAAACCGATTTGGCTCAAAGAATATTGAAAAGAGTTTTACGCCTTTGGATCACTTAAACATGCATTAAAGTCAAATGCTACGCTATTTTTATTTATTTGAACACAGAAATATTGGTACAAGGAAGCACTAGATACATATGCGCCACACAAATCTCATTTGATTTGTGTGAGGGCTGTGATACTGTTAAGGTGCCAAAACTGAAGCAGGTGATTTTCCTAGGGGACCACACCCGGAGCCTTTGACCTAAAGGTCTGATCCACAAGGCAGTGAAGCATCGTGATGAGATGCAGTTCCATGGTAGCCGGTCACCAACGATTGATTCATACACCATTTGCTCCTTCAGGATAGTGGAGCCCATGTGCACCATTGGTTTGGAATCAGAGTTTTCCAACTGCCCTAGGTGGACTCTCCGTTTCCACCAACCCGGTTAAACGCCGGACATTCGCTTTTCGTCCTTTTAATTTCGTAAAATACACCCGTGTTGCGAGAAGGCAGTGAGTAGAACTTCCCTGGCAGAGGCTATATATGCGAGGCCATGTAAGAGCATTTCGAGAGGGCGGGCGCTCCCCACTCTCGGCCGTCCCAGGGCATTTGGGGCACTAAAATTACTTGTAATCCGGAAGGAATGATGATCACTGATTGCAATTATTTAAGCTGAGCCTAGATTTTCCCTTTTGTTATTTAATGACTAACCGAATCCTCCATTCATAAGTAAGTTTAAGGGAATATGTTCAGGATACATGTTTATTTTTACAAATATTCTTAATGCAAAAAAGGCTAGAAGCTTTTTTTTTGGCTTTTATTTTCTCCGCCACAATATAACATACACGTGCTTTATACAGCTTAAATCCCTTGACCTTCTTTACGCTTTCTATTTTTCTTATCATTTCCAAATGACCTAACACTTTCTGTGACGTACTGTTAGGAATTAATGAATGATTTCATGCGTTAGAATAGATTAGGCAAAAAAACAATTTAGAAACTATACTATATATGACTTGTTATCGATCATATGTCTACAATCAATGTTTATAGTATTGTGTTGAGCTGTTTTATGAAATATAGAAACTGATATGTTTATAGTAGAGTTGGATAATGACCAGCAATGGGACCCAGGGCACGCGTTTCGTCCTATTTCACGCTCATCATCAGGATGTGCCTGCATACCGAAACCGTTCGCTTCAAGCACCATTGCGTTATGCACTTAGTTACTGAGTCCAGATAGCCACTGGCTTATGCAATAGGATGAAATATAATTCATTTGTATTGATCTTTTGAATCTTCTGATTGTGTTCAGGACTGCAATTAATCAGTCTCTAATCGGTATATGTTCATCCCATGAGTATTGCCACTGCTAGCTACCATACAACTTTGCAATAATGCTTATGACCTAATGAAAGTATCAAGGTAATCCACAGTGGGGGCTTATATGCTAAAAAGAGACTTATCTATTGCAGTCGTTAACATTAATGCGAGGATTCAAACCACCAATGCAAACGAATTGACATATTTATAGCAAGTTTTATAAAGGTCTTCAGTTTATTTGGGTTGTGACTACTAATGGAATCCAGGATGTACACTTCATCTTACCAAGTAATGCAATTTTTATTTCAATATATTATGCTTTGAAAAAAATTTCTGTTATTGCTTGTAATGACTTATGACAAGATTGATTTGCCAGTGTTTTGACTTAAATTGATTGTTAATTATTGCTAATGACATGACTGTTTGATATAACTGAAGATTACCCATCAGCTACAACTTATTTCATAGGAACGGAATTGCTAAGCCAATACAAGAAAGAAAGCAAAACTTTAGAATAATGATTTAGTTACTAGCTCTTAACAAAATGGCATCTATAATAATAATAAATCACATCATTCTACACTTTCGGTCAACCAGTGCATTTGAACGAATCAGCTAACAGTCAATTAATGATCTATTACATGCATGGAATTCTCAATATCAATAAATTAACTGACTGAGATCAGAAATATAATTCATCAATGAATTTGCATATATATATTCCCTTCTTAATAACTAGTATGGTTGTTTGATCTGACTGAAGAAAAGCTGCTAACTGTTTAAGAGAACGGGACTCTATCCAAGGGATAAATCAAGCCTCTTAGATGAAGATGTATTTATGCACCAGACACTAATTCTCAACTGGTCAAAGTATATAAAGTTACATATCCTGTTAAATATTCGATCATGTAGATAAGTGTAAATGTTTTTCACAGTTAAATTCACGAGGCGATCAAAGCTAGACCATTACGATCTCAAACATGAGAATCGAACTCATGACCTTCAGTCTCGCGCGCTGAGCTGGTATCTTGCGGTGTTGATGTATAACCTCGACCAATTCATGATGTTGCAAAACTCTTCATTTATTGTCTGAGGTAAATAACCATCTCACACCCGAACCGGATTGAAGTCCACTGGTAGTGGCTTCTCGTTAGAACTCCAGGAGTTTCATCTTGAAGCTAGTCACTAATGAGCACATGATTATTATCAGTAAGGAAATATGTAGAAATTGTAATATTTTAACAGTCGGATTCACGAGTCGATCTAAGCTAAACCACCATGATGTAGAGGCTAAGCATTTGCATGAGACTGATATATCCTGGGTCTGAATCTCGTGGGGCGGGATTGTCGATGCGCACTGCTGAGGAGTCCCACAATAGGATGAAACGGCCATCCAGTGCTTCCAGGTTTTCCATGGTTGTCTAGCTTCAACTGTCTCCTGATTTCAACCATGAAAATAATTCCTAATAGTCTAATATGAATATGCCCAGTGTAGTACAGTACAATATTCCAGATGAAAAACTTGACTGACATTAAGACAACTAGGAGTTTTATCTTCATCCTTGACGATAATTATTGAGAATTTGAAATAATGGTTATTTAGAAT